CCACCTTCCAGCCTGCGCATTGGATTTTTTAGGTGAGACACAGTGTGCGCGGAACTGAGCCCACCCTTTAATCCTGAGGTTCATCTGCCGGGGCCAAGCACGCTTGGACGGTGGCAGCGAGGTCCTCAGGACGTAGATGGATTGCCTTACAGGGCTAACGAGCTCCATCTGCCCGGGGAGGGGCCCCGATCGGGACTCGAACCCGGGTCTCTGCGGTGACAGCGCAGCACCTTTCCCCTAGACCACCAGGGGCTCCCAGGAGGGCACTGTAGAGCTGGAATGAATGCACAAGAGCTTTGTAACACATTTAAACCTTGTATAAATGTAAAAAAAAACCCAAAAAATCAAAACCCCACAAACAACCGTCCCCCCAAACAACAACAGAAAATACCTCCCAAAACAAAAATCCCATGGAAATTTGTTTACAAGTTGTAATAAATTTTTTCATGTTACCTCTGTTCTGTTATCCAAGCCACTGTCAGTGTTTAGACAGAAGGGCAAGCAGATTTTAGCAAGATTTACAAAGTTTTGGTATGGATGGAGTCTAGTATTCTCAGCATAAGAGTGTGTTTCCCTTCTCTTTAGGCATGGATTAATGGCACAGTCCCATGCCATGGAAAGACAAGTTCCTGTGTCACTCACAATGTAGTTCAATAACAACTTAAGCCAATCTCACCCTGGATTGCCCAAGTCCTGCTCTGGCACCATGTTCCCTACGCCCTTTCCCTGTGTGCACACTGCTCTGACAGCTGAAAGTCAAGCTGGTTGAGGGAGCAGTCTGTATTCTGAGCCATATTTTTGGGTAGCCCAGCAGCTGAGCGGTTCATTGGAGTGGAACCAACACAAGACCTGAGAGATGGTGAGATGAGTTTGAGGTCAGGCAAGAGCTGAAAGGAAAGGGGAAAGGAAAAGGAGAGAAGAGAAAATTCACAAGGCTTTATAATTAAGTCTCTTCTCCAAACTTTACATGAAACTGTTGTTTGTGATTCCCAGAAGATCAATGATCTCTCAGTTTAATGTTGAATAAAAGAGATTAAAATGAATATTGAGTAGTTGTTCATTGGCTATTCTGAGCACTGATGATTTTGGGATCTGAAGGAATATGAAGTATGTGACCATGATATTAAGAGCTGTAAGCTATATAGGCATATAAAAATTGGGAATATACATAAAAAACCAACCAAACAAAAAACCAAACCAACCAAACAAAAACCCAAACAAACAAACAAAAACACACAGAGAAATTCTGGAGTTTCCTCATTTTGAAAGAGAGGAATTTGCGCTATGGGTTACGTAAAATTCTTGTATGTGCTTTTGTATGTAATATAAGCCTACAAA